GGCAGCGGACGGATCCGCGTCGTTGAGATACTCCTTCAGGCTCCGAGCAAGCAAGCGCTCGATGCGCGCGGAAGCCTTCGCTTGCCTTTTGGACCCGTTCCGGGTGGCAGACTCGAAGGCGATTCCAACGACGGAGCCAGTCATAGTCCGAAAGGCACGATCCCAGAAACTCCGAGGGAGGCGCCAAGGCCAGAACTTCGGCGACACCCTTACCGTCCGACACCACCGCTATCCTCGCGATGCAATCGGTGATCGGCGACAACTTCCCATTCGGACCGATGAACGCTGCCAGCGCCTCCCAACCCTCAACGTCAATCAAGCGCAGACCTCTAACCGCCTTCATTGAAAAATCACAGACCTGTAATCGCCTTCACTGAAAAATTAGAGAGTAAAAAATGCGTGCGGTATGTCTTCCGTGAGAAATGTCAGAATGAGCCGACAGAGGACATGACGTTGGAGTCACGAGTCGCGGGAACCGTGACTGGAGAGTCGAGAGACGGCCGAAATTTTCGGTAAGGGCCCTCGTGAAGGGGATCGAGATTGAGTTTCAGCAGGATACAGGCGCAGAGGTAAGCCTGCTGAGGAGAGAGGATTGCAGTCGCGCTGGCGTAAGAGTGTCGCAGCGCCGATAGCAAGTAAGCACAGTGCTGGGTTCAGGATCACTACCCGTGACGGAGCCAGTAGCGGTAACAGTGCAGGGCGATACGGACAATGTAGAGTTCGCGGTGCATGGCCAACCATCGATCCCGAACCTCCTGGGAGGGAAGAATGGGAACGGTTTGGTTTGGTTGAGAGAAGGTCCGCGAAGGCATTGGTCCTGGCGGCGCAGAGAGGCGCAGTTGATGAGATACGGCTTGCGGAGAAGTACAAAAAGCAGCCACCAGTAGTAGAGGAGCAGTCGGAGGACCCCGTCGAGAGGCAGCGGCAGGTATTCGTGGAGGGCACGGGACAGCTGGACCAGAGCCTGAGGAATGAGCTGTGGTCGCATACAGAGACGTACAGGAGAACCCAAAGGTGGAGAAGCAGCTGAAGCTCGGAGTCATTCGTGCTTCGAAAAGCGAGTGGGCCGCCGCGCCGCACTTCGTGAAGAAGAAGACGGGCGAGTGGAGGTGCGTTTTGGATTACTGGATGGTGAATCAAAGCATGACTGCCGACTCGTATCCGCTGCCCCAAATATGGGACCACTTGAGGGCCGCAGCAGGCCGTCAGCGCTTCACGACTCTCGATATGAACTCGGGATTCCGGAATGTGCCAATAGCGGAGGAGAGCAAGCACCTCACCGCGTTCGTCACACCGTTTGGGCTGTTCGAGTTCAATGTCATCCCCTTCGGGATTAAGAACTCGCCGGCGGAGTTCCAGCGCGCGATGGACATGGTGTTCGAGGAGGTGTTGGATGATCGCACTCTGTGTTACATTGATGATATCATCATCGCGACGGACAGGGTGCCGGAGATGATGCAGCGGTTGGAGAAGGTCTTGCGATTGTGCACAGAGAGAGGCTTCCATCTCAGGCTAGATAAGAGCGAGTGGCTCATGCCCGAAGTAAAGTACCTCGGTCACAAGATTGGGCGGCAAGGGATAGCGCGCCAGGAGAGGAAGATAGGCAACGCTCTCAATACCCCCGCCCCCATCTCAAGGAAGGAACTGCAGAGCTTCCTAGGAGCCGTTGGGTACGTACGACCCTTCATCCCGCGATTCGCCGAGTCCACTTCTTTACAGCCCACTTGACGGCGAAGAGTTCTCTCTCTCTTTCGTATCCCACTTTCTCTCCGCGTCGGTGAACTTTTTGGACGCGAACTCTAACGGGACCTCTCTACCCTCTTGCACCTGCTTCAACACCGAGCCAATGCCAACCTCCGAGGCATCTGTTTCGATGATGAGCGGCGCTGCTGGAACTGTGGAGCAACGAGGCGCCGACTACCGCCTGCTTCAGCGTCGTGAACGCCTCTCCTCGAGCGTCCGACCACACGAACAACCTGCCCTTCTTGAGCAACTGCGATGGGCACAGTAAGCCTGGATCACGTAGGACCCATGCAGCTAGATCAGCAGAGTTGGTGGCTCCTAGCTGTAATGGACCACGCGACGTGGTACACGGGATCGTGGATAACGAGCACGGTCACAGCTGCGCAGACGGCTCACGGGCTCACAACCGTTCGATATTCGGCGAGTGGTCTTAACGGACAACGGCACGAGCTTCAGGGGGGCGTTCCATGAGATGGTGGCTAGCGCGTTGGGCTGCGTCCATCTGACGGCGGCAACGTGTAGGCCGCAGGGGAACGGCATCAACGAAGACTCCCACAAGGCGTTCAGAAGCCGGTTCAAAGCACTGTGGCAAGAAGGACACCGCGACCTGGGTAGGATGGTGGCGGCGGTGTGTCGCACGCACAATACGACTCCGCACATCAGCACAGGTGTGACA